TTCCAAATCGAAGCAAAGTCACTTAGATTGTAATTGTGCTTTGCTACAATGTAAGTCGTTGTTCCCTGTGAATGTCTTTTTATTTGCTTTTCATAAAGCAGGCCGAAGCCTTTGGTGTGAGATCATTAAGTGTTTCAAAGAAGCTTGTGTCTTGACCCAATGGGTTTATATATTCTGAAAAGAACAGGGATGATTGCTCTGTCCACATAGTTATAGTTGGAGATCACCAAGATTCTTTCATGAATCATTGCATAATTTTCCTCATCATATATAGATATTGCAACAAATTAAGAAAAAAATGCATATTGGAAATATAAGCTAGGTGTTGAGCATGGAATTTTATTGATGATGTTTGCTATTTCAAACAACTTACTCTTTTCGATTCATTAGAAGAGATGGTTGATATGGTCTTTATTTAGTAAAATCTTCTATCTTTGTTTATGTTTGTGTGACTAGCGATGTGGTCTAAGATGAAAATATCTCTAATCTTGAGCAACCAAGCGCAAATACTAGAAGGGCTACACCATCAAAATACTTCATATAAACATTTAAAGTAATTGTATCTGGGTGACATCAATATACTGAATAAAATGAAAAATACTAATCATGTTGAAGTTCAATTTGTTTGTTGATGTTTGGTTGTAGTTGATCATGACATATTTTGCTTGAATGAATAATTTAGGTTTCTCCAGAGGATTAGAATAGCTATTGTTGTTCCAGAAGTTGATGCCTGTTACTGGATATGTTTGTAAATCTGCTAAGTAAAGTGTAAACGGTTGAGGTTTAGGGTTTAGGGAGCAACCCACTGAATTAGGAGAATCAAAGAACCAAGGTAACAAGGTCCATTTGTACTACATACCACGAATTCATGGAGTACGTCAAAATACCGCATGGTGGTAAAGCTCACATCAGGTTTAGGAATAATTTACATAGCCTAAAACACGTCACAAAAAGTTGAGAACACTGGGCAATGATTGTTGTTGTATCCGAACAAAAAATGCCCCTTACACACAGTAGCCAAACAATTCACACAGCATCAAGTCAAGTCCTCCACTCCGAGCCTGTCGACCCGGACCCGGCCTCGTTTGTTTGTGTGGTCAAGTTCTTCAGTTCTGGTATGTGATGTGGCATGTTTTTTGCAACTTTAGTTGCGTTGCTTGCGACAAAATGACATGCCATGTACAGCGCGCTATGGATCCGTCATCCATTAAGTGGTGGAGATTGGCATAAACTTGCTTATGTTGCATACTAACATCGGGCCTTGCACGTGGAGCAATGAGAGAGATGATAACCATGTGCATGTGGTAGAGCACAGGCACATCTCAGGCTCCATTGTAGGGCCCCCTCTCATTACATAATTACTCTACTCCCTGATTGTGGTGATTTGGACCTTGAGTGGCGCACATTGTCTTTCGATCCTAGGTGACACATGGGACAAGTTTAAGGACCACCAGTACATTTTACTCTTGTCATGGAACCATATATGTCTGGGGGAGATGCCTGTGAGGCTTCTGTGTGCCTTGCCTGATGCATGGTACGCTAATGTTGCCTCCCGTGCCTTGAGTGATGATATGATAGTGCTGTCTTATGATGATATGCTAATGTTGTCTTCTGCTCTGGTGATGTCAGCATTGGTTTGTGATAGTTCTCGAGCTCACATCACCAGATGTTTTTATCTAGCGTTGTTGGTAATCTGGTATAGTTGTGCCTAGAACTCCGGCAGCTGCGTCCCACTTAATTAGGATTGTCGTTTGACTGACAACGCTGACCTTTTGCGTTGGTGTTGGATCCAAGCCCCTGTTATGGGCACGCTGAGGACTTGACTTGATGCTGTGTGAATTGTTTGGCTACTGTATGTAAGGGGCATTTTTTGTTCGGATACAACAACAATCATTGCCCAGTGTTCTTAACTTTTTGTGACGTGTTTTAGGCTATGTAAATTATTCCTAAACCTGATGTGAGCTTTTCCCCCCATATTTTGACGTACTCCATGAATTCCAGGGTATGTAGTACAAATGGGCCTTGTTACCTTGGTTCTTTGATACTCCTAATTCAGGGGTTGCTCTTTGTCTTGAATGGGGTGATTTGTCTCATTGGTATTGTAATTGATCTAAAACTGTTTCTACGATGAACCTGTTTTCAAAAGCTGAAGCTACCAAAGCACTTTACGGAGTGTAGTAATTTTACACTCCCTTTTATTTTGTTTTTTTTCTAGATATTGCTAGGTACTTAGATATACACCATGTCCAGATTAATAGTAAAAGAAACCTGTTATCCGAAAGAATCCAAACATCTTATATTATTGAAAGCGGATGGAGGCGTGCCAAGACATCAAGACAGTAATGTGGCAACACATCTCTCGCACAAGCGGCCCAAACATCAAGGACACGGAAACCCTCCTGTGCTCCTTCCACGCGCATCGATCCATGTCCGAGTCCACAACTTCACCATCTCAATGTAGCCAATGGTCCGTCTCTTCTTCGGTGACTCCGTCGATTGAAGGCGCCCCCTGCGCAGCAGTCGCAGCATGAGGCCTGCTCGCGAAATCGCCCGAAAGAGCTGCCCTGAAGCGTGAACATCGCTGCGGCGAAAGGCCTAAGGAACTTCGGGAAGAGCCTCGGCTTCACCCCCACAGTGCCGGTGCTTCTCGACTTTCGAACACGTTGGACCACGCCAAGGGGCATCCATTCATTCCTTTTCGCTCTTTGGACTATGGTATTAAACCTATATTACGCTAACTTGCTTTGCTCAAGGTTCGGTAACTTGTGATCAAAGCATTTTCTCGTATCGCCCTTATCTCCTTCAAAGATCTCGTCAATCCCGATATGCCTCCTGCAGAACCAAGGCAACGGGGTTAAACAAAATGAAGTGACACTAAAACCGGACAAGAAATAAGCAGACGTCAAAATAGAATGACATATTGCTTCTAGGGCTATGACGGTTCCAATTCTAGAAGATTTGGCACCAAAAGGAATAGAACAAAGACATTTATGAACTTTAATATGAACTGCTTAAAATTGAAAGAATTATAAACATGCGTTTAGTTTGGTAAGGTGATGAGACATACAACACGCTAGCAGCCACAACAGCTTGAGGTCTTGGATAGTCCCCAAGCTCCTTTTCACCACCTTCAACTTTAGCCTCTGATAAGACCTGATGATTGCTTACGTGTCCATGTAGGTTATCTTTGCTGCCACTTTGGTCATGCCCTTCTTCACATCCAATTGAAGATATCTCTAAGGCCAAATGATGATAGCCTATCATTGGCCTACAAGGACGGGAGGAAAATCGACGCCACGATAGTTAAAATAGTGAATGTATCAATATGAAATCAAATTTTCAATAGATTGTTTCAAAGAGAAAATTCATTTCCATACCAGTGGCTAAATTTTTACATTGACTCACCAAGCCTAACACAATCCTCCTCCTTTGTTAAGGCTTGGAACCTGCTATGCTAGAACACCATAGGCACCCTAACATAGACGGAGTTTTCAAAGAGAAAATTGCGTCACCCAAATTAGCAACAATATAGTTTTTCAGTCCCAAGCAAGTTGGGGTAGGCTAGAGTTGAAACCCACCAAGAGCCCCAAGTCACGGTTCAGGCACTTCAATAGCTGCTTTCCAAGTACTCATATTCAAACATAGATCTCTAGATATATTCCAAGCTTTCAAATCTCTTTTTATTGCCTCCTCCCATGTCAATTTCGGTCTTACTCTACCTCTCCTCATATTATTAGCTTGGCTTAGGACTCCACGATGCACTGGTGCCTCTGGAGGTCTCCTTTGGACATGGCCAAACCATCTCAGCCGATGTTGGACAAGCTTTTCTTCAATTTATGCTACCTCTAGACGATCATGTATATCATCGTTCCGAACTCGGTCCATTCTTGTGAGACCGCAAATCTATCACAACATACGCATTTCTGCAACACTCAGTTGTTGAACATGTCGAATCTTTGTAGGCCAATATTCTGCTCCATACAACATTTCTGCGTCACCCAAATTAGGAAGACAACAATTTTACTCAAATTAAGGAATTGAAGTGCACCTTAGGAAGATCAATCTTGTTCAGGACCACAACATAAGGTCGCTCCAGGTATTGGGGGTTATACATCCTTAGTTCCTGCAAAGAGCTACATGTCAGATCGCTGTTCGAAACTGCACCATGACTTGAGAACAAAATATAGAGTTATAGACAAATGATGATTCAGTTTTGATTACCACAATCACAAGCCTGATACATCCAATTGAATTTTTCAATCATTTACCAAAGCAAGTTCTCTTCTAAGATACTATATTTCTTTCTCGTAACTCCTTTAAGAAAGCAACTTTTATTCTAAGATCCTATTTTCCCCCTACTAACTGTTCAGAAGCCTGGTATCCTCAGAATCTGAACTGGTCATTCTAAAAGCCACTGGGAGCAAATTGTTACTCCCTCTGTTCCAAATTTTAAGACGTTTTAGCTTTTCTAGATACATTACTTTTACTATAAGCTATGTATTTAGAAAAGTCAAAACATCTTATAATTTGGAATGGAGGGAGTACATTGCTACACTCATAACACTTGACTTCCCTTGACCTTGACTCGTTAAGCTTAAAATACACTTAAACTGGCAATATGATTCTGCTCCTGACAACATATACAAGTGTTTATCAAACAATCTCACTACTAATGCTAGGGTAACACAGATCAGATAGATCATGAACATTGTAATACTGAGATGTGAAAGCCAAACAGCATATGAGAGTGATGGAAGCAATTAGAAATTAGTACTTCTCTGACAATCTTATAATCATTGACAGGGTCATCTGCAGCAGCATCGACAACATGGACGATTACTCTAGTTCTCCCTAAGTGTCTTAAGAAATTGCGGCCAAGACCCTGAAAAATTAATTAAACCACATGATAAGTCCAAATGAAATAGTGAGGGGAAGCGGCATGAAAGTTCCAAAGAGAAGTAATTAGGAAAAAGCAAATAATATAGAAGTAAAAGCATTACCTTTCCTAGATGAGCGCCCTCAATTAGACCTGGCAAGTCTGCCAATGTTGCTTCTGAGGAAAACTGTAAGGCCCCTAAAGCAGGATCTCCACCAAGCCGGCCAAGATTGGGCATTAATGTAGTGAAGGGATAATCAGCAATGTCTAGTCTTGCAAGCGTTATAGCTGATAGAAGTGTTGACTTTCCAGCATTTGGAAGTCCCTGAGGGCAATTAAGACAACTTATAACAACATGGTGATATGGCAAGGAAATAAATTTGAAGCAAGCCTCAAAATTAGGATAATCAAACATCTGCATCCTAAAAGGAAACAGGACTGACTCTGGTATATGATAGATGAACATGAAGCGTTAACTAAATGATGGAAACATTATCTTTCTCCCTAAAACTTGAGATGCGTGGATTAGTAAAACGTCATACCACAAGGCCAACATCAGCAACTACCCTTAAGATCAACTCCAAGCTTATTTCCTCACCAGGCTGACCATGAGTTAACACCTGAAGACAAGAGAGGTAACAGAATCAGGAAACATTACTATGGACTTGACAATAGTAGCCAGTAAAACCACCTTGAAATCTTTAAGCTATCAAAATCCACAATGCTAACAAAAATGACATACAGGCAGTTCAGTGTTCAGTAAGGAATTTATAGTTGACTGCTAACATTAGCGCTTGAGCATCATACATCTTCTTCTCATGATCAGTCATCAAGCAGTAAACTGCTGTTTGTGGAAGTTTAGTTCAATTTGTGCATCAGTTAACATGACATCAGAGACATGCAAGCAACTGGACATTTACAAAGTGCATGCAGAGATGGAGAAGAGGCAGCCAACTAGACTGGTTTCCTATCTGATGGGCTCATTGTACAAGTACAAGTACATAGACATCTTTTCTCTAATGAATCCTTCCCCCCAACTAAAAAATCCAACAAGAGACATAAGTGACACAACCCTGAAGCTATCCATAAGTGACACAACTTACTTTGTCGCTAGTATCTCGCATGATGTTTGGGGATAAAACCATGGCTTTCCTCCTCCTGTACTCAGGCACATCTATCAAGCTGATCTGCAAAATAACTAAATAAATATAGTACACATGTAAAACCATAATATGAATCCAGTATACTTATTGTTTCCTAAAAAATACAGTATACTTATTATAGCAAATAAAGGGAATAGTCATAGTGAACAAAACGGGGCACTTTTTTTTTAAGTAAGAGGTCCTAAGTGGTTCTAGATCATTTACACTACATACTCAGTGCACAAAGGAATATGCATAATTTCTATTGCTTAACACCCTTCCCCAGACCCCGCACAGAGCGGGAGCTCTCTGCACTGGGTACGCCCTTTTTTTAAGTAGCTGGCTAGCTGCCTTAGCAGAAATCAAGTACACACCTAAGATCATAGACAAGTCTGTCACCCATTGCATCATTTATAGAATAACACCAAAATCAAGTTAATGGATCTATCACACTAGGCTGCAGTGCTGCACATGCATATACTTCAAATGTGTCAAAACTGTACAGCTGCATCTCAAAATGTTGAAACCAGGTAACCATGATTCTTACCACACACTTCACGGCACTGATGTTTGTGCTTAAAATAATATTGCAAAATTAACATGACGATGAAATGCTTACTACACTCCACAGCATTTAGGATGTCAAAAAGAGTTAGAGATGCTTATTATACTCCACAGCATTTAGGCTGTCGAAACGGGTTACAGGAATAAGTTTTTGTCTTTCAATAATTCATAAAATTAGGGACATTGACAGTTTGATACTGGAATCCACATTTCCTCTTGCATCAGCGTGACAGAATAGTCAATGAGTACTCACCCCGCCCTGTCCACCTCTAGCAACGAGCACTTCATCACCGGGATGAGCCAAATCCGCCAGAACAGCCCCCTTCTAGCGTTTCACAACAGTTCCTGCAATTCCATGTGAAGGCATCCTGCATCCATCAAAAAGGCCAATGCCCGCACAGGAGAAATGCTCGAAATTCACAGCACCGAGTCCACAAACCTACAGGCACGGGTATCCTGAGCGTCTCCCCGGCGAACCCGCTGTGCATCCGCGAGCTGAGCGTGCCGCCAGCGGCGCCCACGTTCCCTCCCCGTTTGGCGCAGTACCGCGCCTTCTCGTGGAACCGCAGCAGCGTCTCCTCGGACTCGTCGGCGTACACCACGACGTCGCCGCCGTGGCCGCCCGTCGGCAGCGCCACGGACCCGTCGTAGTTGCGCTTGTACGACACCTTCTTGCTCTTCTTCTCGCCCCGGTTGAACCTGCCGCGGGGCTTGGCGGCGTCCGCGGAGGGCGCCGGCGGCATGGCGAGCACGGTGCCGTGCCCGCCGTCGCCCGCGCGGACGGTGACCACGGCGTGGTCGAAGTACTTGTGCGCCTCCTTCGCCAGCGCCTGCGGCGGTGGCGAGGCGCCTGCGCTCGGGCGGGCTCCTTGACCCTGGCCGCGCGGCACGTGACCGCGAGCAGCGTGCGCTTCCTTCCGGGGCCGGGGAGGGCAAGGAGGCAAGAGGCGTCCGAGATGGCGCGGTGGTGGTGGGCTGCCGCGCGGAGAGGAAGGGAGGCGGGGATGGAGGAGAAGCGCCATGGTGGTCCGATGAAAACTTTAGTTCTTATAAAGGGTTTAATCCTTTTCCTCTCAATAGCATATCGAGGAAGAATATACATTATCGCGATTACGTGTCATGAAATTAAACGTTTAAGAAACTATGTACTGAGACCATGAATTCATATTTCATCTAATTTTACATGATATATTAGTCTAGAATAATACCAAGAAATTCTATATTAAGAATGGCCTAAGAGTAAGGTCAATAATAAAGCCAAATATTTTGCTATAAGTTAGGTGATAAGAGTTAAGTTATACAATAGTTAGTCTTCTACTTGTATACAATCTTTTTTTATTAATATATGTTTCTATTCTCTTTGATATTTCTCCTCACATACATCTCTATTGGGACCCACTGTTGATATGATTTGCCCTACTTGTTACCTGCATTAGAGTCTAGCTCTCTTCTCCTTTCTCTCATCCACTAACTAGCTTGCGAATAAAACAATTGTTGTACTTGCTCTAATATAGAAGGATGGATGTGTGCATATGTGCAGAGACAAAATTACCACCGATCTAAATGAAGTCGATTTCTTTTTCTTATCCATTTTACTACCTCATTTTTGCTTAAATTTATGATTGAATTTATATGGACTCATTGGTTTTAATTAAACCAAATTTAAAGCCTCGACCCAAGAACTAGGGCAGTACCATCTCTAGCGCCTAGATGGTGGGAGAACTAAGACATCTAGCATCTCTAGGAGACTAGCACCTGGTCGACATGCTAAGCGTGGAAGTGATATACTAAACCGAAGTGAGTAGACATAAGATTTATCCCCGAGGTTCGGTTGCTTATCGGCAACCTACGTCCTCGTTGCGGTGAGTTTAAGTGATGATTCGCGCGCTAACTAGCGTGACAAGCTAGACCCATAACTTAGGTGCCGCAAGAATCAATCAAGTGGTGCACTCTAACTAGCCACGAGCATTCCACTAGACTTGCTCTTCGCGATCTCCCGCAGGGAAGAGCACAAGAGTTTGTTACAATTGCTTGTTCAGAGCCATCAACAATCACCAATAGCGGCTCAACAATCCCTTCCAACTTCGGGCCGGCTAGGTGACGGCGATCACCAAGAGTAACAAGAGATCCACCAGCCGCCACGCTCAACTAGTGCCACAAGATGCAAGAACAACGATGTAACTGCACTAGATGCTCTCTAATCTCACCCAAAAGTGAATTGCAAGAGTGCAAGTAAGTGGAGTGAGTGTCTCAGCTCTAAAAGGGTGTAGACAAGTGTTAGGGGTGCCAAGAGAGTGTCCAGGGCCAGCCACAAGGTCTATTTATAACATTGTCTGGTGGGCAAGTCAAACTGCAAGCCAACGTGTCTAGTGGGCAGGTTCGGTGTACCACCAGACTTGCCCTATGCATGTGAAAAAGCTGCACCTAGAGCACAACTTCGTCTCCACGCAAGCGTGCAACTCTCAAATGTTTTGACAAACATGTAAGTCCAAAATTAGCATTTTTCAAAGTGTTTTCACAAACATTTTTTGCTTGCTCTTCGATGTGTCTCCACGCAAGGATTTCCCATTATCGCTATAGGACCAGCATTGCTTGACCTCGTCCTCATCGGTGGATGAGTCATTGCTCGAAATCTTGAAGTAGTTGTCCACCAACATGCTTGAAGTTGATGAAGAAGAGCACAAACCAAGAAGAACAGTGGTTTTAGAGGGTAGTGGGCATGAAGAATATGTAGAGCACTGGGGGAGCCTCTTCGACTTCTCCCAGTGAAAGTAATGGTAATGAAATGGTGTTGGTAGCTAGGACATTACTCAATAGTCGCTAAGAATGTTGACCATCGGTCCATGGTCGATTTGGGCCGGTGGCCATAACGGGTATTAGTGTATCACAAGTGGCCCAACATATGATATGACGGAGAAAACAAACCCCAAGATCATTGGTGGATCCAACGGTCACAAGGCGGTGAAAAAACTTTTCACCAACGGTTTGATTGCTATCCAAGCCCCGCTGCTCCTCTAACCAGTAGTGAAAGAGTGTCACCACTTGTTCTACGATAATCGGTTGTGATAATGGCGCCTGGGATAGCTTAGTCTGTAGTTGTGGTCCCTAGCCAACAATTTAGGTAGATTCCTCATGAGCACGAAGATCTGATATTTCTACCTTTTGGAGAAACTCCTATTTTCGGAGATAGATTTTCATATCATGGTTGATTCTGAGTTTTCTGGGTGTTGGTGTTCTGAGCATACCCTATCAACACCTTAACAAACACTTCTGCAAAGTTTGGATTGATTTGGACTTTTCTTGCATAGGTTCGGTGCAACCTGAGTTAGCATAGTTTTCTCTCTTTTTTGCATTCGTTGCTCCATGTTTTTCCATTGTGTTGTCTATGTTGTCTTGGACTCATCTAATCACCAGTTGGCTTATGTGAACTTGGGGGACTTTGAGCGCTTCCGGATCGAATTTAGGACAGAGGCAAGTTTCTCATCGAAGAAATTTTATTTCGCTGCCATTCACTACTCCTCCCCATCTGGTCACTTGGTCGATCCTTGTCTGTGTTTTAGATCATCGGCTAGTAAATTTGTATCTGCACGTCTGGCCTGGATGGTGTGCTCGGAGCACACAAGGATTTATACTGGTTCTGGCGGAATGTCCCTACATCCAGTCTGCTACTGCTCGTGTTACCGGCACTAGTTTGTAGTAGGGGTTACAAACGAGGGAGAGAGGGAGCGGATCCTAGGTCTATGGTGGAAGGATTGAAGAGTGCTGAGAGTTTGTTCAGCTATATGCTCTCCCTCTCATGGGATGTCGTGCTTTCCCTTTTATAGGCCATGTCCTTCGTGAGGATGCGTCGACGCCGCCTGATGGCTACATCATGTCCTTCATGCCTGTGGGAGGTACGACCCCGGATACCCATGGTAGACCACATCGGCTGCGCCCCCAGGGGTGGCCCAGCCCACAAGACGAAGCCTTGCGAGGCACGACTCTGCTCGGCGCCTCCTGCAAGACACCGGGAAGATATCCCGAATATACTACGAGATCTGTTAGGATACATATGATCCTAAGATTCCTGTAATCTGTTATTACTTTCTGGTTATCTCTCAGATCTAACCGACTTGTAACCCTGCTCCACGGACTATATAAGGCGGACAGGGACCCCCTCCAAACTCACGCAATATCATACGATAGCCAATACAATCCAACAGAACACATGAGTAGGGTATTACATCATACTGACGGCCTGAACTTGTCTAACTCGTGTGTCTCTATTGCCTTCTTGTTCTTGATTACACGCCTCTCTACCAATCAATCTACCTTCGTGGGATACCTCTCGGAGGACTACCGACGATATTCTATCAACAGTTGGCGCGCCAGGTAGGGGAGTGCGTGTTGTTTCCTTGTCGAACAAGATAGCTTTTTCCACAAGCTCTTCGTCCCTCCCGTAGCCCAGCCAGATCTTCACGGTCGGATCGATCTCATGGATCATCAACGCTGACGGAGTCAGAGAGCTCCTCGACCCAGTGTAGATCAATTCTACGCCGATCACCCCCGCACCTACGACTACTGATCCGATCTTGGAACCACCTCTGAGGTCGCCTTCATCGGCAACTCGCCGCCCATACCAGAGGAGGCATATCAACAACGACGATCTGATCGCATCAATTGATCAGGTTGGTCAGAAGCTCACCGATTACCTCTCCATCACTAAATCGGCTCTGGACACTCTCATTCAGCGCCGACCACCCTCTGATCTAGATCTATTGGAGGCTGCTCGGGAAACTCTAGGGGTTACGGCCCTACCCTTTGGGTTCACCAACGTCACCGCCACCTACCAAGTTGCCCTAAGGGGCAAATTCGCCGACCAGATTGGAGGTGCCCATCCTCCTGCCGACCCGCTCCTGCTGGTCATCAACATGCTGCACGTCGGCCGACGTCCGGGAGCATCCCTCCAAACCATCCCGGAGGAGAGTCCGGACTCTAAGTCCTAGGGCTCTACGGAGACCGTCGCTGAAACCACCACCGAACTACTTCTTCCTCCTTTCCGGGGTGGCGCGATCTTCAACGTCATTGTTGATAGCCCCCTCTCGGGCAATAAACCGAGGAGGAACACAACACTTGTGAGAACCAGACCGTCAATCACGCCTGACAAATACCCGAAAGCAAATGATATTTCCCTTACGAGGACCGAAAGCAAAGAAGCCTTGACTCGCAAGGAAGGCCACTCTAGCACAACCTCGACAACGAGTTTGTCCGTGTTGACGGCCATGATGTCTACAAGACCCCAAGCACCAACCTAGATGTGGCCGCCAACAAGCTCGCTTTCCTCCCCACAGACACCGGAGGTCGCCAAGGTCGCCACAATGCTTAAAGCGACACACTGTCAAGTCAATGAGATCCGCCAGGAACAGAGACCTTCATACTCCACAACCTCAATTCGTCATTAGATCGAGAGTAATTTTGACGCTGACTTGATATGTTTCATGGCGTGTATTTGCACATGTACATCCAAAAGAACAAGAAAATACATTCATATCTCGTATCATTTTGTTAGAATTGGAGGGTTCCTTCTATTTCTTCTCGCCATGTTTTGTGTGCCTTCATATCTGATATCGAAGAATTCAAAGATGTCTTCCTTTACCTTTGAAAGATTACTTCTCGATATTTTTGATAGCTTCCCCATCATTTTGACTCGCAATCAATCACCCAACTACATAAGAACTTTAGGAGTTGTTGAAGTTAATCGAGATTGGTTAACTTGTTTTTTTTCTCTCGCTTAAGTCTTTTCATGTTTCGCTTAACTTGGTCTTTTAGGAAAAAGAAAATATCTTAAATTCAAAGGGAATTTAGGATGCTTAGTCGTTTTGATTGGCTTTAGATATGGCACAAGCAGAACAATTTGCTTTATCCAAAGATCCACAGCCATACGCTTTTGTTGCATTTCTTTTGATGGAATACAATTTTGTTTGCCAGTCGACCCGAGAGTTGGAAGCTATCAGCAGGCAGGAGGATGCAAGAACTAATGGCACAAATGCGTGGTGGGGTAAGATACCAAACTCCATGACATAAATTGAAGTCATTACATGTAGATCTCCTTGCTACCGCAAGTGCATGTTTGGGTGCTCCTTAGTTTACTTACTTTTGATCTAATGTTAACTTTTAATTAGGCAAATCAGCCAGAATGCGGGCCAACAAAAAGCTCAGAAGATGCGAAACAAGATGGTTCATTCCCCACCATCTTCTCATGCTATAGCTCATCATCTCAAGCTATGTTCTGTGGAACCTAGGGAATACTTGAATTGTCTTTGAATCTAACTCTCCATCGTGGAAGCCGAGGAACACCGATGATGATGCTTGCTCGGATATTATCTTCGAAGCCGTAGAAAGGCATAAGTTCTTGTTATCGAAGTCATGTATATATGTGCTTAATGCATTTTTTAAATCATTTACATTCGATGGTCGATGCATCTTTTAGTGAGTTGTTTCCTCCATTGCATGGAAATGTTATGTGCTTTTAGGGAGCTCTCACGAGTCTACCAAAAAAGTTGGATGAAATACTTTATGTAATTTCTTTTGTTATATGCAATTATTGGAGTCTCATTAATTTCTCTCTTCTCAATTTTAGTTTCATTCTTTGGTAGTAGAATGTTTAGGTGAGTTCAAAGAATGATATGTGGTTAGGGTCCCCGCCCAATTCTGTGTTACCTCAAATCATGTCATGGTTTCCAAATAAGCAAAGTCACTTAGATTGTAATTGTGCTTTTGCTACAATGTAAGTCGTTGTTCCTCGTGAATGTCATTATTTGCTTTTCATAAAGCGTGCCGAAGCCTTTGGTGTGAGATCATATGTTTCAAAGAAGCTTGTGTCTTGACCCAATGGGTTTATATATTCTCGAAAAGAATGGGACAGATTGCTCATTCCACATAGTTATAGTTGGAGATCACCAGTATTCTTTCATGAATCATTGCATAATTTTCCTCATCATATATAGATATTGCAACAAATTAAGAAAAAAATGCATATTGGAAATATAAGCTAGGTGTTGAGCATGGAATTTTATTGATGATGTTTGCTATTTCAAACAACTTACTCTTCTGATTCATTAGAAGAGATGGTTGATATGGTCTTTATTTAGTAAAATCTTCTATGTCGCTTATGTTTGTGTGACTAGCGATGTGGTCTAAGATGAAAATATCTCTAATCTTGAGCAACCGCAAGCAAAATACTAGAAGGGCTACACCGATCAAAATACTTCATATAAACATTTAAAGTAATTGTATCTGGGTGACATCAATATACGAATAAAATGAAAAATACTAATCATGTTGAAGTTCAATTTGTTTGTTGATGTTTGGTTGTAGTTGATCATGACATATTTTGCTTGAATGAATAATTTAGGTTTCTCCAGAGGATTAGAATAGCTATTGTTGTTCCAGAAGTTGATGCCTGTTACTGGATATGTTTGTAAATCTGCTAAGTAAAGTGTAAACGGTTGAGGTTTAGGGTTTAGGGAGCAACCCCTGAATTAGGAGAATCAAAGAACCAAGGTAACAAGGTCCATTTGTACTACATACCCTGGAATTCATGGAGTACGTCAAAATACCGCGGGGGGGGGGGGCGGCGAAAGCTCACATCAGGTTTAGGAATAATTTACATAGCCTAAAACACGTCACAAAAAGTTGAGAACACTGGGCAATGATTGTTGTTGTATCCGAACAAAAAATGCCCCTTACACACAGTAGCCAAACAATTCACACAGCATCAAGTCAAGTCCTCCACTCCGAGCCTGTCGACCCGGACCCGGCCTCGTTTGTTTGTGTGGTCAAGTTCTTCAGTTCTGGTATGTGATGTGGCATGTTTTTTGCAACTTTAGTTGCGTTGCTTGCGACAAAATGACATGCCATGTGTACATAAGCTATGGATCCGCTCATCCATTAAGTGGTGGAGATTGGCATAAACTTGCTTATGTTGCATACTAACATCGGGCCTTGCACGTGGAGCAATGAGAGAGATGATAACCATGTGCATGTGGTAGAGCACAGGCACATCTCAGGCTCCATTGTAGGGCCCCCTCTCATTACATAATTACTCTACTCCCTGATTGTGGTGATTTGGACCTTGAGTGGCGCACATTGTCTTTCGATCCTAGGTGACACATGGGACAAGTTTAAGGACCACCAAACACATTTTACTCTTGTCATGGAACCATATATGTCCTGGGGAGATGCCTGTGAGAGGCTTCTGTGTGCCTTGCCTGATGCATGGTACGCTAATGTTGCCTCCCGTGCCTTGAGTGATGATATGATAGTGCTGTCTTATGATGATATGCTAATGTTGTCTTCTGCTCTGGTGATGTCAGCATTGGTTTGTGATAGTTCTCGAGCTCACATCACCGATGTTTTTATCTAGCGTTGTTGGTAATCCGGTATAGTTGTGCCTAGAACTCCGCACCTGCCCCCACTTAATTAGGATTGTCGTTTGACCGACAACGCCGACCTTTTTTGCGTTGGTGTTGGATCCAAGCCCTCATTTATGGGCACGCCGAGAGGACTTGACTTGATGTCAGTGTGAATTGTTTGGCTCTATCGTATGTAAGGGGCATTTTTTGTTCGGATACAACAACAATCATTGCCCAGTGTTCTTAACTTTTTGTGACGTGTTTTAGGCTATGTAAATTATTCCTAAACCTGATGTGAGCTTTTCCCCCCATATTTTGACGTACTCCATGAATTCCAGGGTATGTAGTACAAATGGGCCTTGTTACCTTGGTTCTTTGATACTCCTAATTCAGGGGTTGCTCTTTGTCTTGAATGGGGTGATTTGTCTCGCTGGTATTGTACTGATCTAAAACTGTTCTACGATGAACCCTGTTTTCAAAACTGAAGCTACCAAAAGCACTTTACGGAGTGTAGTAATTTTACACTCCCTTTTATTTTGTTTTTTTTTCTAGATATTGCTAGGTACTTAGATATACACCATGTCCAGATTAATAGTAAAAGAAACCTGTTATCTGAAAGAATCCAAACATCTTATATTATTGAAACGGATGGAGGGCAGCGCCCGGCATCAAGACAGGGGGCTGTGGCAACACATCTCTCGCAACAGCGCCAGCATCCAAGGACACGGGAAACCCCTCCTGTGCTCCTTCCACGCGCATCGATCCATGTCCAGAGTCCACAACTTCACCATCTCAATGTAGCCAATGGTCCGTCTCTTCTTCGGTGACTCCGTCAGTTCGAAGGCGTCCCCGGCGCGCAGGTCGCAGTACATGAGGCCCTGCGCGAAATCGGCCCAGAAGAGCTGCCCCTGGAAGCAGAACATCGCCTGCGGCGAGAAGGCCTAAGGAACTTCTGGGAAGAGCCTCGGCTTCACCTGCCACAGGCCGGTGCTTCTCGACTCGAACACGTTGGACCCTGCCAAGGGGCATCCAGTTCATTCCCTTTCTGCTACTGGACTATGGTATTAAACCTATGTTACGCTAACTTGCTTTGCTCAAGGTTCTGGTAACTTGTGATCAAAGCATTTTCTCAGGGCTGCCCTTATCTCCTTCAGCATCTCGTCAATCCCGATATGCCTCCTGCAGAACCAAGGCAACGGGGTTAAACAAAATGAAGTGACACTAAAACCGGACAAGAAATAAGCAGACGTCAAAATAGAATGACATATTGCTTCTAGGGCTATGACGGTTCCAATTCTAGAAGATTTGGCAGCCCAAAGGAATAGAACAGCACATTTATGAACTTTAATATGAACTGCTTAAAATTGAAAGAATTATAAACATGCGTTTAGTTTGGTAAGGTGATGAGACATACAACACGCTAGCAGCCACAACAGCTTGAGGTCTTGGATAGTCCCCAAGCTCCTTTTCACCACCTTCAACTTTAGCCTCTGATAAGACCTGATGATTGCTTACGTGTCCATGTAGGTTATCTTTGCTGCCACTTTGGTCATGCCCTTCTTCACATCCAATTGAAGATATCTCTAAGGCCAGCGATGATAGCCTATCATTGGCCTACAAGGACGGGAGGAAAATCGACGCCACGATAGTTAAAATAGTGAATGTATCAATATGAAATCAAATTTTCAATAGATTGTTTCAAAGAGAAAATTCATTTCCATACCAGTGGCTAAATTTTTACATTGACTCACCAAGCCTAACACAATCCTCCTCCTTTGTTAAGGCTTGGAACCTGCTATGCTAGAACACCATAGGCACCCTAACATAGACGGAGTTTTCAAAGAGAAAATTGCGTCACCCAAATTAGCAACAATATAGTTTTTCAGTCCCAAGCAAGTTGGGGTAGGCTAGAGTTGAAACCCACCAAGAGCCCCAAGTCACGGTTCAGGCACTTCAATAGCTGCTTTCCAAGTACTCATATTCAAACATAGATCTCTAGATATATTCCAAGCTTTCAAATCTCTTTTTATTGCCTCCTCCCATGTCAATTTCGGTCTTACTCTACCTCTCCTCATATTATTAGCTTGGCTTAGGACTCCACGATGCACTGGTGCCTCTGGAGGTCTCCTTTGGACATGGCCAAACCATCTCAGCCGATGTTGGACAAGCTTTTCTTCAATTTATGCTACCTCTAGACGATCATGTATATCATCGTTCCGAACTCGGTCCATTCTTGTGAGACCGCAAATCTATCACAACATACGCATTTCTGCAACACTCAGTTGTTGAACATGTCGAATCTTTGTAGGCCAATATTCTGCTCCATACAACATTTCTGCGTCACCCAAATTAGGAAGACAACAATTTTACTCAAATTAAGGAATTGAAGTGCACCTTAGGAAGATCAATCTTGTTCAGGACCACAACATAAGGTCGCTCCAGGTATTGGGGGTTATACATCCTTAGTTCCTGCAAAGAGCTACATGTCAGATCGCTGTTCGAAACTGCACCATGACTTGAGAACAAAATATAGAGTTATAGACAAATGATGATTCAGTTTTGATTACCACAATCACAAGCCTGATACATCCAATTGAATTTTTCAATCATTTACCAAAGCAAGTTCTCTTCTAAGATACTATATTTCTTTCTCGTAACTCCTTTAAGAAAGCAACTTTTATTCTAAGATCCTATTTTCCCCTACTAACTGTTCAGAAGCCTGGTATCCTCAGAATCTGAACTGGTCATTCTAAAAGCCACTGGGAGTAAAATTGTTACTCCCTCTGTTCCAAATTTTAAGACGCTTTAGCTTTTCTAGATACATTACTTTTACTATAAGCTATGTATTTAGAAAAGTCAAAACATCTTATAATTTGGAATGGAGGGAGTACATTGCTACACTCATAACACTTGACTTCCCTTGACCTTGACTCGTTAAGCTTAAAATACACTTAAACTGGCAATATGATTCTGCTCCTGACAACATATACAAGTGTTTATCAAACAATCTCACTACTAATGCTAGGGTAACACAGATCAGATAGATCATGAACATTGTAATACTGAGATGTGAAAGCCAAACAGCATATGAGAGTGATGGAAGCAATTAGAAATTAGTACTTCTCTGACAATCTTATAATCATTGACAGGGTCATCTGCAGCAGCATCGACAACATGGACGATTACTCTAGTTCTCCTAAGTGTCTTAAGAAATTGCGCCAAGACCCTGAAAAATTAATTAAACCACATGATAAGTCCAAATGAAATAGTGAGGGAAGCGGCATGAAAGTTCCAAAGAGAAGTAATTAGAAAAAGCAAATAATATAGAAGTAAAAGCATTACCTTTCCTAGATGAGCGCCCTCAATTAGACCTGGCAAGTCTGCCAATGTTGCTTCTGAGGAAAACTGTAAGGCCCCTAAAGCAGGATCTCCACCAAGCCGGCCAAGATTGGGCATTAATGTAGTGAAGGGATAATCAGCAATGTCTAGTCTTGCAAGCGTTATAGCTGATAGAAGTGTTGACTTTCCAGCATTTGGAAGTCCCTGAGGGCAATTAAGACAACTTATAACAACATGGTGATATGGCAAGGAAATAAATTTGAAGCAAGCCTCAAAATTAGGATAATCAAACATCTGCATCCTAAAAGGAAACAGGACTGACTCTGGTATATGATAGATGAACATGAAGCGTTAACTAAATGATGGAAACATTATCTTTCTCCCTAAAACTTGAGATGCGTGGATTAGTAAAACGTCATACCACAAGGCCAACATCAGCAACTACCCTTAAGATCAACTCCAAGCTTATTTCCTCACCAGGCTGACCATGAGTTAACACCTGAAGACAAGAGAGGTAACAGAATCAGGAAACATTACTATGGACTTGACAATAGTAGCCAGTAAAACCACCTTGAAATCTTTAAGCTATCAAAATCCACAATGCTAACAAAAATGACATACAGGCAGTTCAGTGTTCAGTAAGGAATTTATAGTTGACTGCTAACATTAGCGCTTGAGCATCATACATCTTCTTCTCATGATCAGTCATCAAGCAGTAAACTGCTGTTTGTGGAAGTTTAGTTCAATTTGTGCATCAGTTAACATGACATCAGAGACATGCAAGCAACTGGACATTTACAAAGTGCATGCAGAGATGGGGAGAAGAGGCAGCCAACTAGACTGGTTTCCTATCTGATGGGCTCATTGTACAAGTACAAGTACATAGACATCTTTTCTCTAATGAATCCTTCCCCAACTAAAAAATCCAACAAGAGACATAAGTGACACAACCCTGAAGCTATCCATAAGTGACACAACTTACTTTGTCGCTAGTATCTCGCATGATGTTTGGGGATAAAACCATGGCTTTCCTCCTCCTGTACTCAGGCACATCTATCAAGCTGATCTGCAAAATAACTAAATAAATATAGTACACATGTAAAACCATAATATGAATCCAGTATACTTATTGTTTCCTAAAAATACAGTATACTTATTATAGCAAATAAAGGGAATAGTCATAGTGAACAAAACGGGCACTTTTTTTTTTAGTAAGAGGTCCTAAGTGGTTCTAGATCATTTACACTACATACTCAGTGCACAAAGGAATATGCATAATTTCTATTGCTTAACACCTTCCCTGCAGACTCCAAGACAGAGCGGGAGCTCTCTCTCTGACTGGTACGCCTTTTTTTTAAGTAGCTGGCTAGCTGCCTTAGCAGAAATCAAGTACACACCTAAGATCATAGACAAGTCTGTCACCCATTGCATCATTTATAGAATAACACCAAAATCAAGTTAATGGATCTATCACACTAGGCTGCAGTGCTGCACATGCATATACTTCAAATGTGTCAAAACTGTACAGCTGCATCTCAAAATGTTGAAACCAGGTAACCATGATTCTTACCACACACTTCACGGCACTGATGTTTGTGCTTAAAATAATATTGCAAAATTAACATGACGATGAAATGCTTACTACACTCCACAGCATTTAGGATGTCAAAAGAGTTAGAGATGCTTATTATACTCCACAGCATTTAGGCTGTCAAAACGGGTTACAGGAATAAGTTTTTGTCTTTCAATAATTCATAAAATTAGGGACATTGACAGTTTGATACTGAATCCACATTTCCTCTTGCATCAGCGTGACAGAATAGTCAATGAGTACTCACCCCGCCCTGTCCACCTCTAGCAACGAGCACTTCATCACCGGGATGAGCCAAATCCGCCAGAACAGCCCCTTCTAGCGTTTCACAACAGTTCCTGCAATTCCATGTGAAGGCATCCTGCATCCATCAAAAAGGCCAATGCCCGCACAGGAGAAATGCTCGAAATTCACAGCACCGAGTCCACAAACCTACAGGCACGGGTATCCTGAGCGTCTCCCCGGCGAACCCGCTGTGCATCCGCGAGCTGAGCGTGCCGCCAGCGGCGCCCACGTTCCCTCCCCGTTTGGCGCAGTACCGCGCCTTCTCGTGGAACCGCAGCAGCGTCTCCTCGGACTCGTCGGCGTACACCACGACGTCGCCGCCGTGGCCGCCCGTCGGCAGCGCCACGGACCCGTCGTAGTTGCGCTTGTACGACACCTTCTTGCTCTTCTTCTCGCCCCGGTTGAACCTGCCGCGGGGCTTGGCGGCGTCCGCGGAGGGCGCCGGCGGCATGGCGAGCACGGTGCCGTGCCCGCCGTCGCCCGCGCGGACGGTGACCACGGCGTGGTCGAAGTACTTGTGCGCCTCCTTCGCCAGCGCCTGCGGCGGTGGCGAGGCGCCTGCGCTCGGAGCGGGCTCCTTGACCCTGGCCGCGCGGCACGTGACCGCGAGCAGCGTGCGCTTCCTTCCGGGGCCGGGGAGGGCAAGGAGGCAAGAGGCGTCCGAGATGGCGCGGTGGTGGTGGGCTGCCGCGCGGAGAGGAAGGGAGGCGGGGATGGAGGAGAAGCGCCATGGTGGTCCGATGAAAACTTTAGTTCTTATAAAGGGTTTAATCCTTTTCCTCTCAATAGCATATCGAGGAAGAATATACATTATCGCGATTACGTGTCATGAAATTAAACGTTTAAGAAACTATGTACTGAGACCATGAATTCATATTTCATCTAATTTTACATGATATATTAGTCTAGAATAATACCAAGAAATTCTATATTAAGAATGGCCTAAGAGTAAGGTCAATAATAAAGCCAAATATTTTGCTATAAGTTAGGTGATAAGAGTTAAGTTATACAATAGTTAGTCTTCTACTTGTGTACAATCTTTTTTTATTAATATATGTTTCTATTCTCTTTCATATTCCTCCCCACATACATCTCTATTAGGACTCACGGTTGATATGCTTTGCCCTATTTGTTACCTGCTTTAGAGTCAAGCTCTCTTCTCTCTCCTCCGTTCTCTCATCCACTAACTAACTTGCGAACTCTAATATAGAAGGATGGATGTGTGCATACGTGCATAGACAAAATTACCACCGATCTAAATGAAGTTGATTTCTTTTTCTTATCCATTTTACTACCTCATTTTTGCTTAAATTTATGATTGAATTTATATGGACTCATTAGTTTTAATTAAACCAAATTGAAAGCCTTGACCCAAGAACTAGGGCAGTACCATCTCTAGCGCCTGGACAGTGGGAGAACTAGGACATCTGGCATCTCTAGAAGACTAGCACCGGTCGACATGCTAAGCGTGAAGTGATATACTAAACCAAGTGAGTAGACATAAGATTTATCCTCGAGGTTCGCTTGTTTATCGGCAACCCACGCCCCTCGCTATGGTGAGTTTAAGTGATGATTCGCAGCTAACTAGCGTGACAAGCTAGACCCATAACTTAGGTGCCGCAAGAATCAATCAAGTGGTGCACTCTAACTAGCCACGAGCATTCCACTAGACTTGTTTCTTCGCGATCTCCCCGCAGGAAGAGCACAAGAGTTTGTTACAATTGCTTGTTCGTGAGCCATCAACAATCACCAATAGCGGCTCAACAATCCCTTCCAACTTCGGGCCGGCTAGGTGACGGCGATCACCAAGAGTAACAAGAGATCCACCAAATTACCACGCTCAACTAGTGCCACAAGATGCAAGAACAACGATGTAACTGCACTAGATGCTCTCTAATCTCACCCAAAAGTGAATTGCAAGAGTGCAAGTAAGTGGAGTGAGTGTCTCAGCTCTAAAAGGGTGTAGACAAGTGTTAGGGGTGCCAAGAGAGTGTCCAGGGCCACCACAAGGTCTATTTATAACATTGTCCGGTGTGGGCAAGTCAAACCGCAAGCCAACGTGTCTAGTGGGCGTGTTCGGTACCACCACCGACTTGCCCTATGCATGTGAAAAAGCTGCACCTAGAGCACAACTTCGCCTCCACGCAAGCGTGCAGTAACTCTCAAATGTTTTGACAAACATGTAAGTCCAAAATTAGCATTTTTCAAAGTGTTTTCACAAACATTTTTTGCTTGCTCTTCGATGTGTCTCCACGCAAGGATTTCCCATTATCGCTATAGGACCAGCATTGCTTGACCTCGTCCTCATCGGTGGATGAGTCATTGCTCGAAATCTTGAAGTAGTTGTCCACCAACATGCTTGAAGTTGATGAAGAAGAGCACAAACCAAGAAGAACAAAGGGTTTTAGAGGGTAGTGGGCATGAAGAATATGTAGAGCACCGGGGAGCCTCTTCGACTTCTCCCAAAGGAAAGTAATGGTAATGAAATGGTGTTGGTAGCTAGGACATTACTCAATAGTCGCTAAGAATGTTGACCATCGGTCCATGGTCGATTTGGGCCGGTGGCCATAACGGGTATTAGTGTATCACAAGTGGCCCAACATATGATATGACGGAGAAAACAAACCCCAAGATCATTGGTGGATCCAACGGTCACAAGGCGGTGAAAAACTTTTCACCAACGGTTTGATTGCTATCCAAGCCCTGCCGCTCCTCTAACCAAAGAGTGAAAGAGTGTCACCACTTGTTCTACGATAATCGGTTGTGATAATGGCGCTCGGGATAGCTTAGTCTCAGTAGTTGTGGTCCCTAGCCAACAATTTAGGTAGATTCCTCATGAGCACGAAGATCTGATATTTCTACCTTTTGGAGAAACTCCTATTTTCGGAGATAGATTTTCATATCATGGTTGATTCTGAGTTTTCTGGGTGTTGGTGTTCTGAGCATACCCTATCAACACCTTAACAAACACTTCTGCAAAGTTTGGATTGATTTGGACTTTTCTTGCATAGGTTCGGTGCAACCTGAGTTAGCATAGTTTTCTCTCTTTTTTGCATTCGTTGCTCCATGTTTTTCCATTGTGTTGTCTATGTTGTCTTGGACTCATCTAATCACCAGTTGGCTTATGTGAACTTGGGGGACTTTGAGCGCTTCCGGATCGAATTTAGGACAGAGGCAAGTTTCTCATCGAAGAAATTTTATTTCGCTGCCATTCACTACTCCTCCCCATCTGGTCACTTGGTCGATCCTTGTCTGTGTTTTAGATCATCGGCTAGTAAATTTGTATCTGCACGTCTGGACTGGATGGTGTGCTCGGAGCACACAAGGATTTATACTGGTTCTGGCGGAATGTCCCTACATCCAGTCTGCTACTGCTCGTGTTACCGGCACTAGTTTGTAGTAGGGGTTACAAACGAGGGAGAGAGGGAGCGGATCCTAGGTCTATGGTGGAAGGATTGAAGAGTGCTGAGAGTTTGTTCAGCTATATGCTCTCCCTCTCATGGGATGTCGTGCTTTCCCTTTTATAGGCCATGTCCTTCGTGAGGATGCGCCGACGCCACCGATGGCTACATCATGTCCTTCATGCCCGTGGGAGGTACGACCCCGGATACCCATGGTAGATTACATCGGCAAGCCCCCTGTGGGTGGCCCAAATTACAAGACGAAAGCTTCCTTGCGAGGCACGACTGCTTCGGCGCCTCTGCAAGACACCGGAAGATATCCCGAATATACTACGAGATCTGTTAGGATACATATGATCCTAAGATTCCTGTAATCTCTGTTACTTCTGTTATCTCTCGATCTAACCGACTTGTAACCCTCGCTCCACGGACTATATAAGGCTGACAGGACCCCTCCAAACTCACGCAATATCATACGATAGCCAATACAATCCAACAGTAACACATGAGTAGGGTATTACATCATACCGACGGCCCAACTTGTCTAACTCGTGTGTCTCTATTGCCTTCTTGTTCTTGATTACACGCCTCTCTACCAATCAATCTACCTTCGTGGATACCTCTCGAGGACTCATCGACGATATTCTATCAACAGCTGGCGCGCCGGTAGGGGAGTGCGTGTTGTTTCCTTGTCGAACAAGATAGCTTTTTCCACAAGCTCTTCGTCCCTCCCGTAGCCCAGCCAGATCTTCACGGTCGGATCGATCTCATGGATCATCAACGCTGACGGAGTCGGAGAGCTCCTCGACCTAGTGTAGATCAATTCTACGCTGATCACCCCCGCACCTACGACTACTGATCCAATCTTGGAACCACCTCTGAGGTCGCCTTCATCGGTAACTCGCCGCCCATACCAGAGGAGGCATATCAACAACGACGATCTGATCGCATCAATTGATCAGGTTGGTCAGAAGCTCACTGATTACCTCTCCATCACTAAATCGGCTCTAGACACTCTCATTCAGCGCCGACCACCCTCTGATCTAGATCTATCGGAGGCTGCTCGGTAAACTCCAGGGGTTACGGCCCTACCCTTTGGGTTCACCAACGTCGCCGCCACCTACCAAGTTGCCCTAAGGGACAAATTCACCGACCAGATTGGAGGTGGCCATCCTCCTGCCGACCCGCTCCTACTGGTCATCAACATGCTGCACGTCGGCCGACGTCCTGGAGCATCCCTCCAAACCATCCCGGAGGAGAGTCCGGACTCTAAGTCCTAGGGCTCTACGGAGACCGTCGTCGAAACCACCACCGAACTACTTCTTCCTCCTTTCCGGGGTGGCGCGATCTTCAACGCTCAAATGATGTGTTTCTCGTAACGGCAAAACCGAGGAGGAACACAACACTTGTGAGAACCAGAACGTCAACCGCGCACAGCGCTGAGCAAATGATATTTCCCTTACGAGGACCGAGCAGCAGCTTGACTCGCAAGGAAGGCCACTCTAGCACAACCTCGACGACGAGTTTGTCCGTGTTGACGGCCATGATGTCTACAAGACCCCAAGCACCAACCTAGATGTGGCTGCCAACAAGCTCGCTCGGCTCCCACAGACACCGGAGGTCGCCAAGGTCGCCACAATGCTTAAAGCGACACACTGTCAGGTCAATGAGATCCGCCAGGAACAGAGACCTTCATACTCCACAACCTCAATTCGTCGATCAGCCGCGACAAGAACCGATCGCCGCTAAAGTTGCTTCATCGGCCAGCACTGCGACGACAGGCAACCCCTCCATGGTGGAGCTAGGGGCAACCGCAACGAACATCACTTCCAACCCGACCAAGAGGTCGATCAGGACGTCTGAGTGCACCTCAACAATCTCCGAGATGCACGACGACGTATCAACGAATGCCGCTTCGGTTGCCATGAAGAAGTACGCCGCCGCCAGGAGTACGAGCAAGAGTACGGAAACCTAGACTCAGCTCTCGAGCTGATCAATACCGACAACGCTGCAAACGACGGCACCGACAACCCCGAAGGGCCCCCGGCATTCATGAGGGCACTCCGAACACTTCAGTGGCCCCGTGGTTTTAAAATCACTAGGGTTGAGCCATACGAGGGAAGGATGAATCCAACACAGTGGCTACAGGCTTACGCCACTGCTGTCCACGCCGCCGAAGGAGACACCAGTGTCATGGCGAACTATCTTCCCGTCATGCTCGTGCCAATCATCATGAACTGGTTCACAAGCCTTGCCCCGGACTCCATCGGATCCTAGGAAGAGCTTAAAAAAGTCTTCACCGACAATTATATGGCTACGTGTACTCGGCTAGGCACCAAGCATGATCTCAACCGCATCAATCAGAAGCCGTCCAAGCTCCTTCAAAGCTACATCCGACGCTTTTCCGAGA